GGAGGTCTGGGCGCCGGCCTGCCTGGCTGGGGGGCGTCACCGGGAGATTCCGGGACTGCGGAGGAACGGGGCGAGATGGCGGGCGGGACCCCCAAGGACTCAGGCTCTGCCCCACCTTCCAGCCCCTAGGGGAGGACCGGCGTCGGGAAAGTTGAGAGGGGCTCGGGTGGGGTCAGGAAAGGCCGCTGCTGCCCTCCTGTGGCCAACCAGCCACGCGCTCCTGCCCCACTTGGGATCTGGCGGGAGGCGGGACCGGGAAACGGCGGCCTGGGGCGCCCCAGGGGGCGGAGGGTGCAGATGTCCACTCTCTGCTCCTAGAATCATTGCGGAGCAAGTACTGCCCAGCATCATCTCCCAGCCTTGAAGACTTTTCAGAACTGTTCAGACCCAGACCACCGTTCCACCTCACAATTCCCTTTCTTCCCCGGCCTGGAATTTCCACGAGTCCAATTCCTACCTACCCCTCAAGGGGCTCTCCTAGAAATGCTTCTGGATCCCCAGCTAGGAATTCAATTCCCATTCCTACTGTGTCCTTTCCGTGTGGTTAGGGACACTTAGCCCGGTCTGACCTGGCACTAAGATATTTACCTACATGTATGTATTCTTCCCTGTAAGGCGGCTGAGGAAGTGGACGTAGAATGAGGAAATCTACCAACGTTTCATTGGCTTGTGCTCGGTATATTACATAGCTCAACCCTTTTAAGACTCATCACAGATCTTTGGGGTAAGTATATCCATCCCCTTTTGCTCGTACGGAAACTGAGCTCAGAGTACTTAAGTGGCTTGCACAAATGTTTTGAGATTCGTAAGTGACGGAGCAAGAACTCAGAGGGTCAGGCCTGACTCCAAAGTCGGTGGTCTCTCACTGCTGCCTCCCAGGGTCCTCCCACCTGTCCCTTCCCCCACTGTCCAGCACAGTGTGTAGCACTAATAGGTTTTCAACAAATATTTGCTGAATGAATGAATGTTAGAACTCATATAGCCTTTAAAGATCTGAAGTGCAACCCAGACATTTGATAAATGAGGAAACTAAGGTCCACAGCAGTTTTGTACCCAGGCCTCTTAACTCAATCAGTAAACATTTATTGAATGTGAACTGAGTGAGAGCCGTGTGCCGAACATCAATTTCTGCCTTCAAACAACTTATAGTCTAAGTGAGGAATACAATTTCAAGAGAGCTAACATTTATTGAACCCTTATTGCATGGACCTGGCTCTACATACGTTATCTACAATAACCCTAGGAGGTAGTACTGGTATCTCTCCATTTTCCTGATAAGCAAATTGAGGCTCCGAGAGGTTACAGAGCTAGGGTTAGGTCTGGCACCAGAACCTGAACAGCTGGACTCTAGAGCCCTTGCTCTTAACTGCTACTGGCTACCGACCCCTAATATGGACAGTCCTAACACAGGAGATCATCGCTGCAGTGGGGCATGCATGGGCTGAGGGACAGGTGAAGTGTTCAAGATAAGGTGATTTTAAATAATAAGTATAAAAATAAAATAATAGATTTTAAATAATAAGTCGGAGCTACCACAAGCCCACAGAGTTAATGGGAATCCAGGAGGGTGGTGGTGGTGAAAGATGAGGCTGGAGGAGGCAGCAGTGGCCAGATCATGAAGGTCCTCATATGCCATGCTCAGGAGTTGAATGTCAGTTTTTCTCTAGGTACAATGAGGAACCACTGAAGTTAGGAGGGTGACATAGTAAAGAACTAAGGTGGCGACAGTGGGGGTGGAAAGAAGGAGACAAATATGAACTGTTTTTTAAGATGTATAATCAGCTATACTTAGTGATCCATTAGCTTGATGAGGAAGAAATGAAAGTCAAGAGTGGCCAATTCTAAGATTTCTAACTTGAGCAGTGGAGCTGGTGCCCAACGAGAGGATGAACCAGGAGAAGGAACACGTTATGGGGGAAACGGTGAATTCAGTTTGAGGTATGTTGAGTTGAAGTGCCGAAGGGCTGTCTAGGAGACGGTGGGGAGATGACTGGGATGTACGGGTCCAAAGCTCAGGAAAGGTCTGGGCTGAAAACACCGACTTAACAGACATGAGTAGTAGATGGATGGTGTCACAGCAGTCAATGAGGACAGTCATGGCAAGTGTGTGCAGTGAGAAGAGTGGAAGGCAGAAGAAAGAACCTGGGAATGCTACATTTTTAGGACTGTTCTGGTGTTCTTTCCACCACCCCACAGAGTTTTTCCTTACCTTTCGGTTTCTACCCAAAGCAAATAAAGACACACATCTTTATCCATCTGTTTTATTTGCCAATAGCTAAAATTTTGGATCTAGTGGATATCCCTTCTTCAGTTAAATTGCCACTAAAGAAGAGTCAGGGAGCCAACTTCAGAATTTGGGCTGGGAGAGGGATAAGTGTGGAGAGGCTGGGATGGTGGTGGAAGTTACTCCCCTCAGGAGTAACTGCCTGGCCCTCCCAGGGGGATGACGAAGACTGAGATGTCATCCCCGGAACCCAGCTTGTTGTTAGGGAGACGCCAACCACGGTCCCGGGGAGTGCCCCGGGCCCCCAGGACCAGAGCTTGGGCCAGGGCTGTATACCTGCCAGGAGCACATGTGCACATTCATGTACCATCGTGTATATGGGAAGATAGATACACAGACCCACATGTGGGTCCCCAGGCATTGCTTCCCTTTGCCCCTTCCTTCACCAGTGCCATCCCCTCACCACCATGCCATGCGACTCCTACCTGCTTGGGTCATTGGGCTCGTAGGCTGACAGTACCCTGTCCACAGTGGCAGCTACCTCACAATCGCTGGTGACATCCCACAGGCCATCTGTTCCCAGAACAAGCACATCATCCGGACAGTGCTCGTACTGTGTCAGGTCGTATACTCGTACCTGGTGGGGAAAGAGGGTAGAGAGGACTACTGTGTAGGTTTGATGGACAGGGAGCTGAGGGATAAGAGCCACTCAGAGACCCCCAGAGGAGGGAAGGTGTGGTTGGGGGGGGGTCCCATACAGCTCACCTCAGGGAAGCAGGAGAGGAAGGGCTTGATGGGCAGGTTGGAACTGCAGACCTTAAGATTGTGGTCTCCCAAGCCCCGGGTCACCCCAATGGTGGCCATCACCCGAGCCTAAAGGAAACGAGGAGTGGCTGCTGCCATAGTCCCTCCCAGACTCTCTAAAACCATAGACCCTTCCCACCCCTTCCCTCAGGTAGAACCTCCACCTCCCTAGACAAGTTGTAGTGGGTCCTCCTGCCCTCTCCCACCTCTACCATGGAGTTTACCTTTTTGCCCTCCCCACAGACCAGAGGAAACCTGAGATCCTCCAGCTCGATCTTTTTGTAGGCCCTGGGGAGGAGGGGAGCAGAGGAGGCATCACCCAGGTATCAAAGCCTCCTACCCTAAGAGCTACACACCCTCACACAAACCCATAAGCAGGGCCACATCCCCCCAACTCCCAGCCTGGCCCAGCCTCCAACTTCCACTTCACAGCTGGTGAAGGACTGGTTGCGTTGCCACGGGAACGGGCCCCAGCTCTGAGGGAAGTGTTACCAGCCAGTCATGTTCTGGTCCCGGTACAGCATCCTCTGCCCCAGCTCCTTGGGCTGAACTCTGCGGGGGAACTCAAGGTGTGTGAATTCACCACCCAGCAGCTCTGGTTTCAGGAAGCCCTAGGGTTGGGAATGGCTAGATACAGCGAAGGGCCAGGGGGCATTATGCTCACAGCACACCCTGGTACACAGACCATGTTGTTTATAGCAGACCCTTAAATATAATTTACCATGTGCCACACACCGTTCTAATATTAACTCATTTACTCCACACTACAGCCCTTAAGGCAGAAACTATTGATGCACAGAGAGGTTGAGGGAATAGTTGATGTGGGATATTTAGCAAAGCAGTCAAACCAGAATACATCCCAAGGCGGTCCAGCTCCAGAGCCCATGCGTTTCAACAGGAAGCCATACTGACTTCCAACGGCCTTTGCTGTTCCCTTCCCCCACCTCTGACTCTACTTCCTGCCTCAGCTGGGGCCGCCCTGGGATCAGTGGACCAGCCCAGGCTCCTGCCTTCTGCCTCCTCCCACCAGCTCAGCCCTCACTCAGCCCGCACAGCAGCCTTCCCACTAAGCTCCCAGGAAGGAGCTTTCTGTGCATGGGGTGTGAGAGTTCTCAGGGACATATAGGGTGCAGAGAGGCCCAAGACCCAACAACGAATGGGGATGGAGAGTTTGCTTCCTACTTACAAGCAGCTGAAGACGCTGGCGCTCAGTCTCCGGGGTAAACTCCCGGGACATTGGAATGATTTCACCATTCCGGACAATGATGGCCCTGCCCAGAGAAAAAAGATTTGGGCCTGATTCTCCTCAGACCCCTCGTGGAAAATTCTAGAAAGACCAGGCCTTCCCCATAATGACCCTTATGATTCCTTACCCAGACCCCATTTTTCCTCCCCTCCAGGATATTTCAGGCTTTTCCTTATGTCTGTGATCCCTCCTGATGCCCTCCAATCTGTGATTTTTAACCCCCACCACCTCACTCTCTTCTATTCCCCCATCCCAGAGAATGTGGACCCTGCAACCAATTTCAAAGCCCCCCTCCCCATACCTGCTGTCACCTGCATTGGCCACGTACACCTTGCCTAGCAGGTAGACCACAACCAGCGCACAGCAGCCCCCCTCCACTTGGTGGCCACGCCGCTCCCGGGCCATCTGCTCATCCTGCCACATAAGGGTCAGAAGAGGTGGAAGAAGAAGAGGTTCCAGGCACACAGCCACCCTCTTCCCTCCTCCATCCCATCTGCAGAATTCAACTGGCCCAGCCCCACCGTGCTAGAGGAGAGGAAGGAAGACATGGGTGGAACTGCCCCTTCTCCCTCCCCTCTGAACCAAGTTCTGCTTAGGCTCT